GTCTCCAAAAAGTAGATTGGAGAACATGAGCATAAAACAAATGGTATTAGATGAAGGTTCGACTCACTTTATTTATGATACTAGGTCGCACGGTGATCTATGGGACCACATCTCTTTCCACTGTTTGCTAGCGACCCCTCACCCAAAATCATGAGAACTTCCAATTTTTAATAGAGGTCGAGGTCCCCCAAATAAAGGGAGAATGCAGGCCCCAGGGATTCATGCAATACCACCCCTTGCAATCACTCCCCCACTAGAAGCTTGTGGCTGAAAAAGGGTCTGAAAAACGTGCGACGGTATATCCGCGCCCAAAGTGACCTCCTTCCAAAGAAGAAAGGCCCCTGCCATTTGGCTCCAAGCATTTAGCACTAATTGGGTATGGGCTAAGTTGTAATGCCTAAGTATAAACCTAAAGAACTGGTGTAGGGGCAATCTCATCCCCCACCTAAGATGGCCTCGCTAACGGCTATGCACCCTTCCCTAGGGAAACAGGCCCTCTTTACAGAGGTCGGCACAAACATCTCTATGTTGTCAGGAATCCTAAACCTTTCCCTAAATTTCTCCAACTTATTTTCTTTAATATCAGTGGGCCATAGTGAAGCCCCCCACCTCACACTAAAGTTTATAGGACCCTCTTGCATCATTCATGCACTATAAGGACCCCCAATGGCCTCCATAGTCCTTTCAGTGGGGATTATGGTGGCCACACCCGCCTCGGCAAAAATCAATGCCATGTCTATCTTGGGAGATCCCCCAGATGACTTCTTGAAGTGGAGGCCATTTCAATATGAAATTAAGGAAAACGTGAAGGTATTTAAGTACTTACACAGGTCTTGGATGCTGAAAAGTAAAGAAAATGGAGCTGCTCGCGGGATAAGGAACGGTAAAGGCTAAGGAGAATTTCGGCACTTAGTTTTTAATTTTCGCAGGGTGAAAGAAAAAGGGTAATAGTGAGCTTTTAGCCTTATATATGCACAATGAACGAACCCTCACCGTTGGATCTTTGTCCACCTTAATCCGGGCCATCCACCTGTAATCTGACCTATCACGGCGATTCCTAAGAGCACTTGATCAAAATTCAAACCAAGGGCCCAGATGGCATCATGCTAAACACGCCTTATAAATTCACGTAGACTCTTCCAGATATAACGTGCCATCATCATTGCGCATTAAATGTGCATGTAGCTCGAAGCTTAGAAGAATTGGCACGCCTCCCAACTGTCTTCATTGGAAATCAGCATCCCTCTACAAATTATTACGGCATGCCACCTGGCAACCTCCAATGGCCTCGCTTGGCATTTTGAAACCTTATTACAAGCTTCACCTCCTAAAAAGGTTCAGTGGACCCTTCGGAGCCTCACCTAGCATTTTAAAGCCTTATTACAGGCTTCACTTCGTAAATAGGCTTGGTGGAACCTCCAAGAACCTCACCTAGCATTGTAAAGCCTTATTACAGGCTTCACCTCCTAAAAAGGCTCGGTGGAACCTCCAAGAACCTCGCCTAGCATTGTAAAGCCTTATTATAGGCTTCACCTCCAATAGCCTCGCCTGCACTTTAAAACCTTGTCGCAGGCTTCATCTTTTAAAAGGGGTTCGGGGATTCTCTCGTGGCCTCACACTACGCATTCTAGCCCTATCACAGCATTCAACTATCGAACATGCTCAAATTTCTACCGCCAAAGCCTCACCATGCACCCCCGCAACCCGCGTCGCTAATTTTAGTCAACCAAGTCGTTTTCTTTCTTAGACTGGCAAGTCCACGCATTATATAAATAATCATTCCTGGATTTCGGGGACTGTTGTTACTCATATAAATAATTGTTCCCTACGTGGTGGATCCAAGGGCCTTACCTTACATGGTAGAATAGACAACCCTGTTATAGGCAAGAAGGTAGCTTCTCATATGAACAAAAACTTGGCCGACCCCATTTGAACAGACTCCCACGTAGGAGCCTGTTATGGCAAAGCGATGAATAGATCCCTAATTGATCTCGTGGTGAAGTGATTGACAAGACAACTCACTGCCAACGTCGCCTCTATACACATACACAGTCAAATCCCACTTGCACAAGCTAGGGCTTGTAGATGTGCAAGAAGTCTTCGCATTTAATAACCTGATTAACTAATCGATTGATGCATGCAACAAGAAGGGCTAGTCAATCTAATGAAACCACGTGCCCTATCATCCAACGGACCTTGTTCCTCCTACTCAAGTATAAAATCCCACACTTAGTGTCATTTAGGGTTAATGCAAGTTTAGAATCTCAATCTAATATTCTTACTGCATACATCCCTGTCATTCTATACAAAATCGACTCCCACTTTTTCTCTATCGGATCCGAACTATGTGGACGCGAGAAGCTTTTGATATCTGTTGGTCACATCTTTGATACAATTTTTGGGGTCAACATAATTTAAATGCTATTTAAGATTTATATATCCAGCACTTGATAACTTTTCATCGTGCAAACACCAAATAACTTCATTATCTTTTAAATATTTATGAATTGAAACAAATAGACTATGCAAAAATGATAGAACAAACTAATGCCGCTATTATATATCATTTTCTTCTCTTTGTCTTGGCAACTAATATATATGTTTCCGGTGTGGACACAAAAATTTTGAGTTGGGGCACAAAATCAAACCAAACCCTGTACAAATCGAATACTTTGTTCTTGATTTTTGAATTATTCATACGTGACTCAAGAAAACACTGATTTACGTTTAAAAAATATTCCTTCATTAATATTTTGCTCATTATTTTAGTCAATTTGATTTTGAATAGTTATTTTATTAAAATTTTGCACATCACAAATTCAAGTAATCGGAAGGAAAAACATATAACCAAGATTCAATACTAATAAACACAATTTGTTAAATAAGTCAAATTTTACACAATCATTTCAAACACATTCTATATACACAACTTGATAAGATAAAATGCAAAATTGGGTTCTAATTAGTTGAAAATTGATTGGGAAGTGAAGATTTATAGTAGATGTGATAATTTGTGGAGAAATTATAGACAAATTTTGAAAAATTAGAAAGATTAATGTTTTGATAAAAGGAAATAGTCGCGAGAGAGTGAGAAAAAAATTCAAATCTATGTAATTTTGTCCCTATTTAATGGGAATTGAAATTAAATTTTTAGTATATTTTGATAAAAGTTGAAAAGTTGTAAATCACATGTAATATGTTATTAAAATTAATTATTATTTTTGACTTAAATTAAAATTTAGATTTGAATCTATACCAAATAGGACTTTATCAAAAAAAAAAAAAAAATAAGTTAGTTAAAATAAAGGATAAAAAAAATAATAAATATTTTTTGGGAGTAGTAAAATTAAGGGTGTGTTTGAGCCACATTATTTTGGAAGAATGTATTTTGGAATAGTAGATTGATGGAGAATGTTTGATTAACAATAAGGAAAAATTTTGAATTTGCATGTAGTATTATTTTATTGTAAAATGTGTGGTTATAAAGAAAAGAGAAAAATGTATTTTAAAAAAATGAGAATCAAACAATGATTTATTTACAATATAAAATACAGTAATAATAAAAAAACCAAAATTTATATAAGACATAGAACTTAGGTTTGGGCATCGGGTGGATCGGTTCAAATATTTCAATATCCAAAACCACCAATTACACTTCGAATATTTCTTAATTGGAACCATTCAAATCCGTATAATTATTGAAACCAAACCGATATCCAAACTCAAACCGTCGATTTTGGTTTAGGTTCGATTATACCCATAACATTTTTTATATGCATTTAATAAATATTTTCATATAATCCCTTTCAGTATATTTTACTTAAAATGATATTACACTTTGAGAAGAAAATATTTTTTACCGAAACAAATTAAACTCAATCGAGGTTATTAGTTTCGATTCCAGATCCTAATTTGGTTTTTTGGGAACTGGACCGGAATCTTCGATTTCGAATTGGGAGGTTCGATTCTGATTAAAATGCTCAGACCTACATTGAACTTTGCAACTTATAGTAAGTGATCCACTTCAATAATGACAAATATAACAAAATAATCCTTCAAGTCATTTAACATTAGCTATATAGAAATAAAATTGGGCACGTGAACAACAGGACAATGAGAAAAAAAATGAAGAAAACCCTAAGCTAAAGTGCAACTCTACGCGAACGTCGATTGCACCCACTATGAGAGGATCATATGTATTATCCACCACTGTATAAGACGACCCTCCCACATTCTTTAAGGACAAACAAAAAAATTCCAATACTTTGGATTTATATAAAGATTTTCATTAATAGAGAGATTTTAAAATATTTGGATGGATTTCAAGCTTATAAATACATATAAAGTTTTTTTTTTTTTTTTGAAATTTCACCAAATTTGATGAGATTTTTATGGAATTTGTGAAAAAAATATTCAAATCCACAAAATTCATTAGAATTTATAATCTTTTAAAATTCATCAAAATCTTAATTGAGGACACTCTCCTTGGTTATGATGATGGCTAGAAGACTACCCCCACCTCTTGAATAATCATTCCGTAATACTATGTAACATAATTGATATTTAGGAACCATTTAATTAGCAACGGATAACTGTCATATTGCTCGATCAATAAAAATATCATAAATGCTATAAGTAGCGTTATTCTAATGGTTTGGACTCATTGTATTTTGTTTCGTTCACTTGTTTGACTAAGTTCTCACTGAATCCCACAAGTCTTCAAAAGGCACACAGAGAGATTTGTCAATATCACCATTAGAATCAACCTCTGGCGCATCATACATTTTGTGAAGAAAGAGAACAGAGAAAGATTGGGGGGTGACAGTTAACGAGGTAAATTTTCAACAGCTTTTCTTCTTTGAAAAAGTTCCTTGGTTTCATAGAGTTAAAATTCTTGGCAATTTCTGTGAGTTATGAAGAATGGAAATGATGTCCTTTTCTTTGTTAAAAATCCATGAGAAGATGAATAATTTATGTTCCCTTGTTCTTGACTATCAGCAATGGGGAATATCAAAGCTCCATTCAGAGGTATCGAAAAGGATATTCAAGGTAGACTATCTTGTTATAAGCAAGATTGGAAGGCTGGAATTCGTTCAGGATTTGGGTACATTATCTCTCCTGATGAAATGATATTCAGAATGAAGGAACAGAAAAAACTGAAATTATAACAAGAGTTCCTGAGATGGAAAATCTAACAAACTCCTGTTCCTTTTGTACCAGAATACTGGCGCCAACAACATATATCTTTTTTGCCTCAGCTCTTCCAGTGATTGCATTTGGAGAGCAAATAAGCCGAGATACCGGTACACTTTTTAACTTGCGTTTTGGCTTGTGATCAGCTGCCAAAGTGGTTAATGGTTATGATCACACAAAACAATTTTTCTGTTTATGAGGGATTGCAAGTTTTGTACTGATTTATAGCTTTGTATTGCAGATGGGAGCCTAAGCACAGTAGAAACTTTGGCATCAACTGCAATTTGTGGTATAATACACTCTATATTTGGTGGTCAACCTCTGCTGATATTAGGAGTTGCAGAACCAACTATCATAATGTACTCTTATCTCTACAAATTTGCCAAAGGAAGGGAAGACTTGGGACAAAATCTCTATTTGGCTTGGGCTGGATGGTATAGTAGTTTTCTTTTGACAGGCTAATTACTGTTTTGGAAGATTTTATAATCTTGATATTACAATGAGGTTTTTTCCTTTCTTTTTGTTGCAGGGTTTGTGTGTGGACAGCTTTGTTCTTGTTTCTTCTTGCAATATTCAATGCTTGTGACATCATAAATAAATTTACAAGAATTGCAGGGGAAACTTTTGGCATGTTGATTGCTGTTCTTTTCATTCAGGAGGCAACTAAGGTACTAAAATGCGTTATTCCGAGATAGTCAGATTTTGAAAATCTCATGGGATGATTTTAATGCTATTCTGTTTGATTAATTTGATAGGGAATTGTTAGTGAGTTCAAAATTCCAAAATCCGGGGACTCAAATTCAGAGCAGTACCAGTTCCAATGGCTTTTTACAAATGGTTTACTTGGAGTCATATTTTCATTTGGACTTCTCTACACCTCCTTAAAAAGCAGAAGAGCCAGGTCATGGTGTTATGGCACAGGTTTGTAATGCAAAGTCAGTTGTTGATTTCAGTTAAAAAGAAATATGGAATTCGAAATGTCATAACCATTTTTGAAACAGGTTGTCTCAGAGGCTTCATTGCAGACTATGGAATGCTATAGGATGTGCTAATCTTCAAAGTGGGGTAAGTCGGGTATATTTAAGATTATGAAGATTATTAATGGTCACACATGTGGCTTAAATATAATATTGGGAACTATTATCCAGTTTCGTTGTTTCATATAGTATCAAATACAAATATACATCGTCACATACTATATACACTCCAAATGATATATGTAGTGACATGTTTCATACGTATGGTATCTCAATGAACTATTCTAAGGTTTGGAGATCTCGTGACCAAACTTTAAAAATCATTTGGGGTGATCCAACTGAGTCATTCGGTAAGATATCTAGCTACTTTTACATGCTTCAACAGAGAAATCTTGGAACGGTCACAGGATTGGAGTTTGATAGTTACAGTAGGTTCAAATATTGCTTCATGGCCCTTGGTGCATCAATTCAAGGTTGGAAGCATTGCAAACCCGTGATTGTGGTGGATGGCACCTACTTGAATGGACATTATGGTGGTACTCTCTTCACGGCATGTACACATGATGCAAATAACATCATTTTTATTCTCGCATTTGAAGTGGGAGATAGTGAGAACGATAGATCTTGGACATGGGTTTTCGAGAACTTGAAGAAGGCTTATAGTTACAAAGATAGATTGTGTTTTGTATCAGATCGTCATATGAGTATCAAGAATGCTATAGAACATGTTTATCCAGGAACCTATCATGGGATTTGTTCATATTATTTGCTGCAAAATTTGAAATCATATTATGGTAAATCAGATCACAATATAACGCAAGCTTTCAATTCGGCTGTTCGATCATATACATTATTAGAGTTTGAATATCACATGCATTAGCTTGACATGATGAACGGAAAGATTAGGCATTACCTGGTAAAGTACTAATTTTAATTACAATTTCTATATTTTAAAAAAATGAACATAAATGTAATTTATATGATTTTCATGAACATGGTTGATGTTCTTAGCAGGATGTTTGAATTAAAAAGTGGTCACGATTTCACATGCTAGCAAATCAGTGTTCTACAATGACCTCAAATATAGTAGAATCATTCACCGCAGTTACAAAAGTAGCAAAGAATTACCCTGTTGTGTCGTGTTAGGAATAATTTTCACAAACGGTTCAATACCAATACGAACAAGGAAGTCATGGTAGGTCTTCCCAACAGAATTGAACACATGCAATGTGTGTGTACTGAATTCGAGGACAACAAACATCCAATGTGCCTTGTTAGTTGGTATAATGGGCATGAAAACAAAGTCCACACTGTCTCAGGGAGGGCCTAAAGACAAACTACCTTTCGTAACGTCTAGCAAACTGGACTACGACAGCAAAACAGTAGGATCTTGCTTAAACTTAAAATATATGTTTTTGAACTTCATCTGGAACCATGAATCCGTCTTGGTTGCTCTCAATTTGAAGTTCTTCTCATACCTTGACAACTGGCGGATGTAGTAGAAACATACGTCTATGTGCTATGGTAAAAGAAAAGAAAATATTATCGATTTTAACATGAGAAATGAACTGTAACCTATTGACGTGACATGTGACCTCATGTAATTGACCAATGTAAAGCATATGTGACTTATGTTTTAGCTTCTGTGATTAAAGATTTAAATACTCATTCTTACCGTGCTACTCATTGAGGACTCAGAATTCACAAGCTCATAAAACCACGTTTTACTTCCAACATTAAACAAACCAAACAAAAATGGGACTGATACGATCATCGGTATCATTGAACTTTTTCCTGTAAATGTTATATGAACCATAAGAAATTTTTTACAATGAGTTATTACACAACATTCGGAGTAGAATTTGAATTTACTTATTTTTTGGTTTGTATACTCGTTGGAACCAACTCTAGAATGTAGAAATATCAGCGTCTTCAGCATTGCGGTTATAATGTTCGAATACCAAAACAGTCTCAGACTATTTGAGTCATTTTTCCTTTATCGACGACAAATGGAGATTGTAGTATCCTCACTGGTCTAGAAACTCTCTTAATTGGTAATCCTGAACTTGGTTCAGACACCGGGGATACCTACATATTGTTGTAATTGTAAATATCATAGCTTATTGGTCTACTACTACACCTGTGACATGTCTATGACTCATGACCTAATACAAATTAACATCTGTGACCTACATGGATTATAAAAAGAATTGTGCAAATCTCCAAAATTAGAGTGTACCTCTCCCTCTGTCCTTTTTGTGTCCTGGACAACATCAGCTATGACGGAGTCAACCTATTGCTAAATTGTTTTGTATTCAATCGGAGTATGCAGCTCAGGTTGTGTAAATCCAAGACCCAAATCGAACAACGGAGGTTGAAGACTGAGTTGGATCTCGAGATCGTCATTAGGAACCATCTTACTCTTACCTTTCTTGTCCAAACTCGGTCCCACATCTTCAGCCTGAAATTAGAGCAAATATGAAATTTAAAATGAAATTGTGTGCCATTCAAAAGATAACATAACTAATGCATACTTACTTCATCAGGCTTATCAGACACTTTAATCACATGACCTTCCTGATCATCTTTGGATCTTTCACTGAGTTTTTTCAAAATCTCTTCCATTGTACTAGAAATCAACGTAGATACATACTCGGACAGGAACTGCATGTTTGTCATAATGTCTAACATGTCACTTCTAATCCCAGTCTGCATTTGGACAATGTCATTCATCTTTCGTATTTGTTCACCCTGTATAGATGACAAATGTGACATCATCTCATCCATCTAAACGTTCAAGATCTCGTTCTTTGAAAGAAGTTCAGATATTTGTACCATCAGTTCTTTTCTCAAATCCTCGACCGCCTTTAAAGTGTGTACAATAAATCAATTACAAAGAAATTGTATAATGTGATAGTTGACAGACATTACTTTGCCAATGCAAGTGAAAATGTGTTGTGTCTAGTAATGTATGTGACTTGATTATGATGACATGAACATATTGAAAAATGAATCATCCGTGACTAATGTACATGAACATGTGACTTGTGCACACATATTTGTGACTTCCGTTGATTTAAATGACATGTGACCTATGATAGAAATCGGATTCAAGTTAGTACTTCCATGTTATTAACCTCAATAAAAACTTACGCCATTTACCGGTGGGACATCTGAATGAGGCTCCTGTGCATGATGAGGTTCAGATGATGGACCCTTCTCTACTGGAGAGTTTACATGGGCATATGTCTCTGGCAACTTCGATGGAGGATCGGCAAAGTCATCGTCATCTTCATCTACAACAGCGTGACCAGTGCTACCATCGATTATCTTGAGAACCGATGTCGATGTTTTTTCACTAGAAAAACCTGCCTCTACACTTGTTCCAACACTGCGAACTGAAATTTCCATCATTTTCTTCTTTCTCCGACCATCGCATATTATAGCTAGTTGAACTAGTTTCATTTACTGCACCACATTCATATAAGGCATTTTCATCTCATTCTCTGAGGGGTCCAGGTCACAGATTTAAATATGCCATACAATAAAAAAAATATTGTTAATAACGATAAACATCTTAATACGCTATTAATTCTGTAAATTTGAAATGATTACATCAGGGTTTAAGAAGCATTCAAATCCTTCAAGTTTAGCAGCGAATGGGTGCTCATCTTCCATCCAGTTCATGATTCGAGGATGGGTTTCAGACATCCTTGTGACAATAGTTCCAGCAAGACTAAGAATAGTCTCGTATATCCAGACTTGAAAGGGTAGTAATAGACCTCTCGGCCGTAATGGCTTGTCCTCTTACTCAGACCATCTCTCATATCATTCAAAATCATTTCAAAATGATCTTCCCCTAAGGAAATGTAATGAAATACAGAGCTCCAAGCTTTGCGACATCTTCGTCTATAAGGACTTCAACAACATCCTATTCTGGAAGTTGGCAAGCTGATATGAATGCATCCCTCACATCTTCATGTGTGACAATGTTCAGTTGGTTGAAATATTTTTCATTCAAACTTGAAAGACTGTTTTCAAGTGTATCTATGTCACTTTTCCCCGTGCATCGCAGATCTGTTACTAAACATAACTCAACCATAGAGAACCTAACAAATCTACATAATATGCAAAACCACAATTCATTTTCATTGGGTGTATGCACCATCTGAGAAAAAAAATAATGAATCAATTGTGGTTGAAAAACTATGTCATGACACTCCATAAAATGCGCAAAGCATATTCCCATGAGTATTCTTCATTGGATTTCGCTCAGATATATCTTCAAGTTGGTGATAACACCCTTTGTTATGGATGTGGTGATTTGTCCAGGAAACCATTAATGTTGTGGTAGTATGAATTTCCACACCTGCAGCAGGAGTTTATGTCAGGTAATAGATGCAAAATGACAGAGGTCACAGCCATAAATTACATAGTACACTCAGGTAACATACGCGTATAATCATATAACATGTGATGAAATTAGGTCACAGACCCACTATAATCTCCATGACATGTGGGAAGTAGGTCATAGATCCATTATACTCTTTGTGAAATTCACTTCCAAAATACACTTCCAACATATAAACCCCCAACCTTTAATACTACTTCTCAAACAAATAACAGGTCACAAATGAAATAAACAAACAATAAAAAACAAATTTTCCACTCAATTCAGATTTTCCATACAGATCGTTCAAAAAAACGCAGCGGTGGAGTTGATTTCGTGATTCTATATACATAACTCACGAAAAAACGTAATGTGTAACATTGAAAACACCTAAACCATGTTCCCTGTTCTGTAGCCTAAAATAGATTGCCCCACACATTTTCCTTCAATACTATCGGATAAAACAAATAAAGTGTCTCAAATTCAATAAACGAACAAAAAAATGAAGTTACCTTCTTCCCTGACTGATTGCTACTTGACCCATGCGATTTTTGCCTTGTTGCTGGAGTTTTCTTGGGATTGTCCATTGTCTTCCTTTTGTTTGTTCTACCCAGCGTTTACACCATCTTCTTCCCCTTCTTTTCATCCTTTGTTTTCGCCATTGCTATTCTCTGC